TTGTCAAATTCAGCAAGCTACAGAAATGATTGGAATTCTTAACTATCCTTTTACTCTTGAAAAGCTGGCCTTCACCGCCAATTCCTCGGCCATGTAAGAATGTCAGAGCCTGCCAGGTCTGACAAATCAGATAAGAAAAGATGGCAGCCAGAGAGCAGGTATCACATAGAAGTGAGAAAGGAAATGAATGAGGTCCTATATGTGTTGCTATTTATGGAGTCCTTCACAACAGAGGGGCAGCCCTGTTTAACGTAGTTCTAATCAAAAAGAAAAAACAAAAGGAAAGGATAAAGAGAACAGAAAAACGTCCAAAGGAAAAAAATTAGTTCAGAAAGCTAAACAGGAGAGGAGAGGAGGAAATGAACAGATATTGAAACATCCAAAGTGAAAACAAAAACTGAACAGAAGATATTAACTGCAAACAAACTTGTCATGAAGTCAAGTTTGGTTCTGGGCTAATACTGCAGGAGTGGTGTTTTCAGTTAAACTAATTTTTCTAGAAATAAGCTAAGTAATGGAAAGAGGGGAAGGGGAAGTGCCTGCAGGAAGACTGGTTTCATATAGCATCTAACTCATTGCCACTTCTTTTTGCCGTTCTAATAGCAAACGTAAAGCTGCTTTTTTCCCATGGTAAATGTCATTTTAGTTTAGATGATAGATCCTGTGAAAAGTCAGAGCAGAACTTTAATAATTCATGCTAGCCTGAACTTCTTAACCTTGATTTGAATTTAACAAAGACTGTCTGTTTTCATACTAATGATAAACGTATGCACGGTTTTTACAGCATTATTTTTGTTTTAAAGAAAGCTGGCTTTTCTGTAAACTCTATCAGTTTATTTCCCCAGACTAACAAGATTAAGAGGGAAACATACAAACAAGTGAGTTGCACATACAGTGTAAAACAGCAGGAGAAAAAGGCGGCCCCTGTAATATATTTTTATAGTACACCTATGTGAACTAAGCCAATATGTCAACATCTCTGTCAAGTAATACAGCTGTTGCATTTCCCCTAAAAAATAATGTTCACAGTAGTGCTGGACTGAGTTTACAGAAACTGAAGTCAACTAATTTAGTCACCAAACAGGCATAGTGCAGGCAAGCTTTCCTGCAGTGGCCCACCAATATGCTTTGATCTTGATTTGGAGGGACCTTTTTTCAGGGAGAGAAGAATGTCCATAACCATTCATTGGAGCCTCTGCTGAGATAACAAAAGTGCCAGTTTTTATGATCACGTGTGTGATATGGACAACTGGTTCCATAAAGACTTTCTGTAACCACCTACTTCAGACTCTAAAAATGGAAAAGACCTAATAGGGGATCCAGGATATTAAAGAATCACAGAAATGAAGGTCTACGAGGGACCTCAGTAGGTCATCTGGTCCAGTCCCCTGCACTGAGGCACGATGAAGCATTATCTAGACCATCCTTGACAGGTGTTTGTCTACCCTGCTCTTAAAAACCTCCAATGATGGAGATTCCACAACCTCCTTAGAAAATTTGTTCCCACACTTAACTACCCTAACAATTAGGAAGTTTTTCCTAACGTCTAACCAAAATTTCTCCTGCTGAAGTTTAAGCCCATTACTTCTTGTCCTGTCCTCAGTGGAGAAGGAGAACAATTGATCACTCTCGTGTTTTTAACAACCTTTTACGTACTTGAAGACTTATCACATCCCTCCTCAGTCTTCTCCAGACTAACCCCCCCGCTTTTTTTCCCAATCTTTCCTCATATAGGTCATGTTTTCCAGACTTTTAATAATTTTTGTTGCTTTCTTCTGGACTTTCTCTAATTTGTCCACATCTTTCCAGAAGTATGGTGGCCAGAACTGGATGCAATACTCCAATTGAGGCCTTATCACTACTGAGGAGAGTGGAAGAATAACGTCTCATGTCTGGCTTAAGAACCCTGCTAATACATTCCAGAATGATGTTTGCTTTATTTGCAATAGTATTACATTATTGACTCTCATTTAGTTTGTCATCTTCTATAACCTCCAGATCCTTTCCGGCAGTACTCCTTCCTAGGCAGTTATTTCCCATTTTGTATTTGTGCAATGTATTATTCCTTCCTAGGTGTAGTACTTTGCATTTGTCATTATTGAATTTCATCCTATTTATTTCAGACCATTTCTGCAGTTCGTGAAGGTCATTTTGAATTCTAATCCCGTTATCAAAAGGGCTTGCAACCCCTACCAGCATGGTGTTGTCTGCACACTTTATGAATGGACTCTATCCCATTATCCAAATCATTTATGAAGATATTGACTAGAACTGGACCCAGGGCAGACTCCTACGGGACCCATTTGATAGGCCCTTCCAGATTGATTGTGAAACAGTGATAACTACTCTGAATTTGCTTTTCCAACCAGTGTGCACCAACCTTATAATACATTTGTCCAGGCTATATTTCTCTAGTTTATGAGGTCATGTGAGAGAGCATTAAAAGCCTTACTAAAGTCAAGATATATCACATCTACTGCCTCCCCCCCATCCACTAGGCTTGTTACCATGTAAAGAAGGTTATTTGGATGGTTTGATATGATTTGTCCTTGATTTATCACCTTATTTTCCTCTAGGTGCTTACAAATTGATTGTTTGATTATTTGCTCCATTATCTTTCTGGGTACCAAAATTAAGCTGACTGGTCTATACCCTGTTTCCCCGAAAATAAGACAGTGTCTTATATTAATTTTTGCTCCCAAAGATGCGCTAGGTCTTATTTTCAGGGGAGGTCTTATTTTTCCTGGAGCTTCGGGGCCTTATATTCCGGGGTGGCCTTATTATCGGGGAGGTCTTATTTTCGGGGGGATGCCTTATATTACAGCGAGAGGCAAAACTGGAAGTAGGTCTTATTTTCGGGGGATGTCTTACTTTCGGGGAAACAGGGTAATTAGGGCTCTGTGTCCAACATGGAAGTCACAGATTCCATGACTTCTGCGACCTCTGTGACTTCTGCAACAGTGAGTGTGGCTGACCCCAGGGCTGCCCAAGCATCTGGCTCCAGGACTAGCTGCCCAGGTGGCCCTGGGGACAGCCACACTAGCCACTGCTCGGGTGCCCCCCGGGAGTGGCCGTGGTCCATGTCCTCCCCCTCCCCCCCAAAGGACCCCCCAGACATGCCCCACCCCCAAGATTTAGTCACAGGTATTTTTAGTATAAGTCATGGATAGGTCATGGGCCGCGAATTTTTGTTTATTGCCCGTGATATGTCCATGACTTATACTAAAAATATCCGTGACAAAATTGTAGCCTTATCTAGAATTCCCTCGGTTGTCCTTATTCTCCTTTTTATAGAGAGGGTCTATATTTGCCCTTTTTCAGTTTTCTGGAATCTCTCCTGTCCTCCACGAGTTCTCAAAGATAATCACTAATGGCTCATATCTCCTCACACAGTTCCTTTAGTATTCTAAAATATAGTTCAACAGACTCTGTCGACTTGAAGACACCTAATCTTTCTAAGAAATTCTTAACTTGTATCAAACTTTTTCAGTGTGTGGACCACATCTTAACAAAAAGATTGTCTTTTGGTTCATCTCTCTGTCAATTCTAACTCAGAGGCATTTATTTAACACCCTTTTAGAAATTATAGAAACTACCTACCAGTTGGACGTACCGAGGGCTTACTATTCAAAAGAACTGAGCACTCACAACTCAAATTAAAGTACATGGGAACAGCTGATGTTCCAAAAATTCAGGCCCCATAAGTATCTCAACTCAGTTGCCCAATCATCGAAACGCTTAAAATTAGTGGATACTCTTGCGAGTTTTTTGCCTTACTTTCTCTATTGCTCAGTTCCCTATTTGCAAAATAGGGACAATACCTCCCTGCCGGAGACAGAGGTTATGATAAATTGATGAAGCACTCAGATGCTGTGGTAATGCAAACCCGAGAAAACTCTGTGAACAAAATTAATTCTAAATTCAATGCAACGTTTGGACAGTATATAGCAAATACGGTAGGGGGTGCACATTGAATAGTGAGGCTGAAAAGCAATGCTGAACTGCTGCCTCACTTATGGAGAACTGTCCATCCTGTGCCCTGAATGAGGCAGAAGTCCTATGGAAAAAATAGTATGAACATGTAATTAAAGACTACCAATTCATATGCATTAGGTGCAGAACTAAAGTCACATGGGCATCCTAATTCTGGCATTTCCTGGCACCTGAATTCTGGACTTTGCAACTTTAACATTCTTTTATCAGTGTTTTTGTTATATTTTATATACATACATAAACACACCCCACATATATTCTAAATGGAAGGAATATTTTTTTCATCATCATGGTAAGGGCAGGCAAGAAGATTTTGTGCCGAGGCTCTTAAGTGAGAGTGCCATAAACTTAGAGACTAAGTATGTGTACAGTAGATAGACAAATTATACTCAGGAGAGCTTCGCTTTGCTTTCTAGTGTACAGGTCTGATATCAGAAATTTACCACAGCCATGATCTCTCTCAAATGCTTCATCTTCCCTTTTAACTCTGCAGTTTCCTACAATTACAACATACTGCATCTAAAAGTATTCCAGAGTAGGGGGGAGACACTTTGTAATTCTCTCCTCCCTCCTACTTTGTATGCATCACATTTTGTTGTGAACATTTATTTGCATCAAAAAATACATTTATATCTTCACAGAATTCAAAGACAATTACTCTTCTGTTCCTTTTGAGAGACCTCACAAAAACTGTTTCTATTTGCAGCACCTACAGCTATTTCCAGCCAACTGTTCTGCTGTGTTAAGCTGTATCCTTCTTCATTACAAGCATAAAAACTAAAAATTGGTGTAACTTTTATTAAAATGAGTGTAGTCCAAAATATGTAAATGCATAACCTGAAGGCACAACATTAAGTCAAAACAAGATGATGGCTTTCAAGTGCTTATAGTTCCCTACAGGTTGCCAATGAGCAGCAGATTTCCATTACTGCTTTATCCACAGTTGAGAACAAACATCCATGAAGATTAATTACAGGTAGGACTGTCCAAACAGCATGAACTCTCACCTTTATGCTTCCTCCAATGAGATCAGGCGGCTCTTCATCTGTTTCTAAGGCAACATTGATGGAGGCAAAGGGACGGCTAGCCATCTGTTGCATCTCACGGAGTAGTTGCTAGTGAATAAACACAGAGGTATTAATACACTGTTCCAACGTAAAGAATACAAAAATGTTCGACAGATTTTACTGAATATGGAAAGATATGGACTCCAGCATGCAAACGCTTCAAAACAAATTCCTGATGCTTTCACTGGGCATAAAGATGACACAAGGGAACCTGATGAGAACAATTTCGAAATAAAACCAATTGTATAAATATAAACAGGTGTAAGTCACTCCAATGTGAAAATTTTGTATGTCTACACAAATCAGACAGCTGCCAGTGTACTTACCATATTGGTATACCACAAATTAATATTAAACATCCCTGTGTATTATTCTCAACACTCCAAATGCATCTGTGAACAGCAAGCATGGCTTGCAGGAATATGTTTTATTAAAACACAGTACACGTTCCTGAATAAATCTTTAGAAGCTCCTAAAATACAAGAGGCATCTTTTATTGTTCTCTTTACAAGTTGAGTTTTAGTGTTACGGTTCTCTCTCAAACATACAATGGCAGTCTCTACATGGCAGACTACAGTTCCAATTTTAGTTTAGCAGTAGTAGGAAAAGATATCCTTTTTAGCTCCTGTGGTTAAAAGTCCCTTGCTCTAATTGCAAATCAAGTGATTGGTAATGAGACGTAGGTGTCAAACATCAATTCCAGCAGGAATGGGAATGATGTGGCACCCTGCCCGTAAATAATCAAATAGCATCAGCCACTTAAAGATCAGTATACTAATGAAATCCCTTTGATTTATATACTGTACTGTATTTAGTATAACACTTTTGTATTCTATTACCTGTCAATCACCTTACTAGAACTACTATTTCTGATCCCAAAGCAACTTTGCAGACATATGGAACAGTACTGTATCACTATTCATGGCTTGGTCATGTCCCTCCAGATGATGTCCGACCATCTAGTCGGTGGTTGGCCTCTGGGTCTGACTGACTTTGGTTGTACTTGCACTATTTTCACTGACATCCTATCATCTGTCTTCTGCAGTGTCTGCACACCATTGTAATCTTCTGAATTGCAGCCAATCCCATATCCTGATTTCACATCCTACTCTCCTTCTAACTTAACTTGTCTTAAAATCATTCCACTATACAACTGCCATCTTCTGAAGAACTTATCTTTATTGCCTCCAGCCTTCTCATGTCTGTTCATTTAACGCAGCTGCCTCCAGAGTAATACTGTTACTCTATGGTCTGGAAGTAAAGTAAAGTATAATTTCCAACTGTGAGCTCTTCCGTACCCAGACAATGTTGTCTCCTGTATGGCAGCAAAGGAAACTTGTAATTTCCTTAACTCTATCGCTACTAGCATGGGTCTGGCCTGGAGCAAACAGGGTTCTGACATTCTAGCTTGGAATACATGTAATATGTTTAGCCGTTACCTGAAATGCATGACCATTTCCATTTGCTAGGTTTGATAAGGCCTGGCTCAAATACCATGTAAGTCAGTCTTGACTTGCTGTACTCTTTTTATAACAAGTAAGTTTCAGATGTAATGGCTTACTAGGCCAATCCGTCATATTCAGTTAATAATGATTTAGTTGGTGTTGGTCCTGCTTTGAGCAGGGGGTTGGACTAGATGACCTCCTGAGGTCTCTTCCAACCCTAATATTCTATGATTCTAATAGGAATGACATGTCATAGCCTGCTGGCCTACGTTTCACCCTAGTCCTCTTGCCTTCCCAGGTTAATGAGCATGGATATCAGTACTAAATGTATTCTATACTCAAAAAGCTAGACTACTGAGATGTTGCCAAAGATTGCAAGTTAAAATACTCCCCCTCCCCCCATCCTTTCAATGTTCTTACTATTGGTAGGTCAAAAAATCAACTAATTATTGTTTGCAGGACTCAAGATGTGTTATGCAATTTGCAAACAAAATAAGATGAGTCCCTTTCTCGGCCAACCTAAGACGACAGTCTCAGGGTGGCAGAAGAGGATATAACATACCAGCAAAGGGAACAAATTTAGGTTTAGCAGACAGTCCTTTAGAGCCATAATTTCTGTATTTTCTTTAAACAGTGCACCTCCTTCTGTCTCCCTTCCTCTCTTGTCCAGCTGACTTCTGCTCAACTCATTCATTGCTGACCGAGGTTAAGAACATCCTTGTTCCCCATCTCTCTTCTACTCTGCCATTTCCACCCACAGACAGGAAGTGGGGAGCGAAAACACTGACTTGGTGAATTTGAAATGGGATATATAGCTGCAGGTCCCTGGTGTGAATGTAGACAAGGTCAATAGTGACCAACAATCTCTGCTATCTAGTCTTGTTTCAGTTTGGTGCTTTATGTGAAAAGCTGTTTTACTGTAGTTCCCATGGATCGGTATCCACATCATACAAATCATCATCCGGTTTTGCACTCTTGTTGGCAGTATCTGCGAAGGCACCAAATAGGAGACTAAGAGACCACTCCTCTCATCCCTAGAGTTGAGACACACTGTACTCCTGGGGGAATTCTGCGCCACTGCGCAACACAGAATTTGTGCACAATTTCACGTTTTTCCTGCAGAACTGGGGCTGCAGAGCTTCTGGGAGCCACTAGGGGCCGCTGGACTCTGCAGAGCCCAGCTCTCAGTGAGCAGAATGCCCAGCCCGCGGGGACAGAGGCTGCATGCTCTGGCTGCCCGGTTTGGCAAAGGGTGAGGAAGGGCAGGGCTGCACCACACCACGGCCCCTGGCAGGACAGTAAAGAAGCTGAGGTGGACTAAAGGCTCTGGGGATGTAGGTGTCTGGGACGGGTGCTGCCCCACGGCTGGGCTCTGGAGGGAGTGGGGTGTGAGTGTCTGGGCAGGGCAGCTCCAGGCACCAGGGTTGCAAGCAGGTGCCTGGGGCGGCAAATGAAGGGGGGGCGGCACGTCCGGTGGCGGGGCCGTCACTCCCTCTCGGAGTGAAGGACCTGCCACCGAATTGCCGCCGTAGAATGAAAAGGCGGTAGAGCTGCCGCCAATCGCGGCTTTTTTTGGGGGGGGCTGCTTGGGGTGGCAAAAATGCTAGAGCCGGCCCTGTGGCTGGGCTCTGGGGAGAGGGAGTGCAGATGTTTGGGCTCTGGGGATGCCCATGGCTGGGCATTGGGGGGGAGAGGGGTGCGGATTTCTGGGCTCTGGGCGTGTCCACGTCTGGACTCTAGGAAAGGGTGGTGTGGATATCTAGGCTTTGGGGGTACCCCGTGCCTGGGCTCCAGGGTGGGTGAGTGTGTCTGGGCTCTGGGGATGCCCATGGCTGGGCACTGGGGGGAGAGGGGTGCAGGTTTATGGGCTCTGGGGGTGTCCACGGCTGGGCTCTGGGAAAGGGTGGTGTGGATGTCTAGGATTTGGGGATACCCCGTGCCTGGGCTCCAGGGTGGGTGTGAGTGTCTGGGCTCTGGGAGCCCCACACAGCCCCCTCCAGTACCCCCCAACTGGAACTGGGTTGTCATAGGGGTTTCTTTAACTCTATTCCGGGGGTGGGGAGGATCTTTTTTGTTGTTGTGTGTATTGTTGACAGGTATTTTGAAATAAATTACTGGTGTGATTACGTTATGTTATTTTGACAAATAAAATATACAGAATTTTAAAATATTGTCTGCAGAATTTTTAATTTTTTGGCGCAGAATTCCCCCAGGATGATGTGGTGAGGCTCAGACCACTATGCCTCTTCTATGGACAGAGGACTTCACTTTGTAGGATTTCAATCCAGCACCTTTCACCAACACAAAATTAAATAGCAAATCTTGGTCTGATTTCTAAAAGATTAGCAAAAGCAACAAGCTATACAACACTGATTCGAGATATCACCACAAACAACGTAAAGGGAAATCCTAGAAATCAGATTTTCTGTGCCTATGTTGATCTTTTTGACTACTTGCCAGGCAAACTCAGCAGTGGTAAGGAACCACTCACTGATCTACTAAACCTCCAGAGTTTTAGAACACTTAAAATACACTCAGCAGATCGCAAACTAAAGCAAGTGTGAAGCAGATTGTTGAGTAGTCATTCCCATAACTGTCCCCTTCAGCTATCATAAAGTGCTTTGTATAACGGCTGCAAAGTCAGAGAACAAGCTGTCCTGAAAAAGATGTCCAAAAGAAGAATGAACTAACTCTTACAAGCAAGTTTAGTTTACTAAGCACAGTGTGGGGTTTAGCAACATCACTCCTGTTGAAATCAACAGAAACGTTATGGGATAAAATCCTGGCAACACTGTGAAAATACAAACAACTTTGAAGTGACATTACTGCCTACATTTTCAGAATTGGACAAGGATTTAGCTCTGCAACTACCATTCATTTCAACAAAGGATTGTACCTCTCAGTAGGAGTAATCTGAATATGTGTAATACTGTATAAATGCTGGCTATTATAGCCAGTTATTACAACAGACATCTATTTCAGAATAAAGTCTGGCTCTATCTCAACAACTGTATGGTTATATTTTAAGATGGAAAACCACTTCCTGTGTTTCAAACAGACTGACAGCTCATCTAAAGATAAGGAAGTCCTTTCAAAAGGCAACCCAACAAACATAGCCTGCGTACTTAACCTGCACCGGTTGAAGTTTGGCAGTTCGGCCTGTGTGCATATTTTAACAATATTGCCCCAGTTACGTGTTAAGCTCCCTGATGTAAAGCCTGGTTGCTTTTCATATTTGTATAAAGGAAATCATGTAACAAAAAATAAGATCCACTATAAAAATGGGTTCTAGAAATAAATATTCCTCAATTAAGACCTTATTTTTCCCCAAGAGAGAGACATTTTGTACACTTAATCTGTGCACATATATCCCTGCTGAAAGACTGTCAATGGGGTTGATGTTTTAATGAAGGTTTTGTGTTATAGAGCTAGGGAGATACATTTTGCATGTGCAGTGTGTGTTCTTATCTGGAGAGAGAAAAGAAGATTCTAGTGAAAATGCAAAGTTTGTCAGTGGAAACATGCTATGTGGATATCAGGTTATGGTAAAGAGATGTCCCATCATTTGGAATTGCCTTGCTTTCAGTGGTTTGCTTTGTGGGATGTCACACAACCGACCTTAATCAATCACTTTTAAACAGTGTTGTTATTTATATAATACATAATTGATAGGGCTGCAGGAGTGTTTTAAATCACTTGTGCCCTGAACGAATACTTTAAGTCAAAATGTACTGTAAGTTCACAATATGATATAATATATACCGCCGCTTGGAATGGCCAATACTCAGTACTGATGCAACTACATTTTTAAATCAGTGGAACATGTGCAAGTCTAATTCATACTGAGCATCGCAAGCTAAAGAGATTACAGGGCAGTTGGCATGGAAACAGAGCCCCAAGGCTTTGGTACAACAAGAGACTAAGACTATTTGACAGTAACAAACTGAGCAGACAGCATGTGGTAGGGAGAAGAGGGTATCAAGAACGGACGACAATTGGGGGTGCCCCTCACATGGACCCAAGATAGCAAGTTGATGTTGAAGAAACTACACTGTTTCAGATCAGTGGCTCTTTAAAATCTAGTAGCTGTAATTCTCAGAACTGCATATATGTGAACAGACACCCCAGTGGTGGGGAAACCCCACATTAATATTGATGTGTTATTGATCTGAGAAGAAAGAGCTTGAGAACTTAGGGAAATTGTTCAAGTGTCTTGCAATGGTAGAGTATTGCACGAGAAAGTGAAAAATGGCCATCTGGGTTGCTGGGTTGATTTATTAAAATAACTCAAGATGTATTTATTCTTGGGCAACGAAAGCTTGATCATTATATTCAGAGTAATAAAACAGTCCCCACTTTCTGTGTAATCATCCTGTTACCATCAATCTAAACAAACAACCCCTTCCTGAGTCTATCCCCTCCTCGGATTCTGATGGCTTCTTGAAAGGGACATCAATTCTTCTATGAAGGAAAAAAAAACTCAACAGTATTTTGGGTCTCAACTGCTACTTGTAAATCTTGGTTAAAAAACAGCGACACGATTTATTACTAAAAACTGTAATGAAGATAAAACAAACACTCATTTTTACCTTTATCATCTTATACTGTTATGCACTAAAAAAAGGAGCAAGAGTAGCAAACAGCATTTCACCTTTATTATTTCTTCGACTGATGCCCCAAAGGGGTTTAGGCACCTACCAAAACAAAAAGATGTGATCCTTAAGGAGCTTACGCACTCCAATGCTGTGTGACACAAAAAGGGGGAAACAAGAGAGTAAGGAGGGGTTGTGGAAGTAAGAGTAACATCAATATGGTTATGCAGTACTAGAGAACAGACATATGTCAAGAGGCTGATTGACACACAATGCAACATTAAGACTCTAAAGGGATTCTAGGGTCAAATTATCCTTAGTGGGGAGAGCAGGAATAATACAATGGGGGGCCCTGAAGTTGAAAATGAGTAGCAGAAGGGAAAATACAAGAGGAAGAATTCCAGGAAAATAACTTCTCTCTAAAAAAAAAATAAAAAGCCACAAAAACTGAAAGAATATAAAGTGTTTTTCCAAGATGTAAAGATTCATTAATGGTTTTTAGAGCAATCTTAAATACTTCATTTTTCAGAATCAGTTCTGGAGATGCAGATCCTTCTGGATCCTTAGTTTTTAGAGCTGCAACTGGCCTGTGCATCCAGTGCAAAGAAGATCTCCAGAAGACAATGAAACACAGCAAACTGTACGCTACTCTCTTTATCTTCATTAGGAGGTTTAATTTATTTGTAGTGGAGAGAGGTCAAGAATCGAAAATATCTTTCCCAATAATTTCTATTCTGCTAGCAGCACCTCCCACAATTTTGATACATATTGCTACTCCCAGAGGCTGTCCAAAATTGCATTTGTCCAGCATGGATACTGTGTCCTGGATCATCTGAAATCTGTCTAGTGATTGGTAGCTCTTTGTCATTGTAGTGTCTGTCTCCACTCCCAGGTGAATCATGGGTCGAGGGAATCAGGCAGCTTTTCCTGGTGTTATTGAGAAGCCATGTTCTTGTCAGCAATCCAGAGTTTGGGTTGTGGCATTGCATGCTGTGTCTTGCTGTGACTACCACCAGTCACTTAAGACTCTGGGTGGATCAGAAGGAAGAGTCTGTGTAGTGTATTAAATTGCTCCCCGTAAGAATGTGCTACTTACGGTGTACTACTTACGGCTGCCAGTCCTGCTGCTCTGAATGGCATGGTAAGGGGGCAGGGAGTGGGGGGGGGGGGGGGGGGGAGGGGGGGGGGGGATGGGGAGGGGGGAAGGGACTAAAAAAATAATTGGATAATAAAATCTATCAGTCGTACGAGGGAATGTGCAGACTAAAAAGACGGGCATGAGTGTATGGATGGTGAAATAAGGTAACCACATAACCGTGTTTAGCCCATTGGGTTATCTTTAGTCCATGCATTATACTTTTTCGGGACAATGGCTAAACATCGTCCCCATAAAAAAGACAAAAAGTGGGGGAATGTAGAAAGATGAGGCCTTGAAATATAAACCCTTGGTATCAGAGACCCGGTATGAGGCCTGAACTCAAGTAATGGTCAAGACTTTGTGAACATAAAGCAAAGTTAAGCTGTGAGCCAGAGGCAAGCCCTGCTCACAGAAGTTGGCAAGAAGAAGGCTGCTAATTGCACATATACACATATCTAAAAGGTATCAAGTCCTAACAGGATGAATTTGTGCCCGGATGGCACCAGAATATTCTGGTACGAACACATTCCACAGAGATAACGAGGAACAGGCTGACCCATCCTAAAGAGAGGGTCAAAAAGATAATATGATGGATAGAGTTGTTTGTTCGAACCAACATGTACCAGGAGAGAGGCAGCACCCTAACATGTAGAGGGGTTGTACCTCAATGCGTCAGGAGTGATGTGTAACTTGTTTGTACCTGTGTATAAGAATGCACCTCTGAGTGGTTGTCTTTGTCCGGCCTAGGGGGCAATGGAGAGTCCCGCCACTGACTGAGCTGAGTTCGTTGTCAGGGGGCACAAATTCGTATTCTGTCCTGTACAGTCTGCTGGAAATTATTACTGTGCTTCGTTTGACAATAAACCTGGCCGGGTGCCTTCGTACCTTATCGGAGTCTGTGGTCATTGGGGGTTCTCTCAGGGTCTGCGGTGTCAGCTATCTGCGCAGAGCCGAGGCAGCACACAGAGGGAACACACACACGCAGCCGACTGTTATCAACATTGGATAGAGCAGAGCACCACACTGGTGACGTCTGACGAAAAATGCTTGAAAGGAAAGATATTTTATTAATAAATTCCTTGCAGGCCATTGACTGACATTCTGTCCTGGAAAAAGTTCTGTAGGTTGGTTGGCTTATTTTTGTGTTGTGTTCTTTTGGTGGTAGTGGGTTTTGTGGTTCTTTTTCTTTCTTTCTTTTGTATGTGTGGTACTTCTTTCCCTGGCTAATCCCAGGGGGAGGTTGTACACTACTGATATTCATCTGGGGACCAAACAACAGAGACGGGCTCCTGGTACATATCTCTCAATTGTGAAAATAGCTTGTTAGCTGTCCCCAGGAGCCTGAAAGGCTGCCTTGCCTGTTCCCCCAGGCTAGCTAGCACCCAAGTAAATGCTGTAGGAGCAACCTGGTACCACTTGGAGCTTTTACTTAGGAAATCAGGATAATTTTAAACTTGGGAAGGGATTTATAATTTATCCCTCTGTAATCCCGTGATAGTGCAGCTTCATGGGGAGAGAAATCCTCATGTGTCTCTGGTCACAGGCTGCCTGAAATACTCAAGCCTTTAATGTGGAGGCAGTTTGGGGTGGAGAGAGAGAGACCCTTTCCCGACTTTCAGAGTGCAAGGGTTTACGGATGATTATCAGAAGGCACAACTCCCATTCTTCTGCTGCCTCAAATCTGAGCCCCTTTCCCTGGCAGAATGAGGGTCCTTGGGCTGAAAGCCAGACAGGCTCAGTTTCCATGAGGCTGCAATCTGAGGCAGTTACAGGCTTCTCTGCTTGGCAAGACATATTGCAGGGTGATGGAGGGCTGCTGAGCACACTACCGAACACTGCGAGAAAGACTATGACAGAGACAAACCCCAGCAAATGCTCCCTCATGGGGCAGAAGGCACAGGAGAAGGCGGTTTTATCCCCTGGCTTTCACCTCACTTATTTATTAATGATACTAATTGCTGCTTTGTGAAGGACACACTTGCCTTCGCCTTTTTGGGACACGGAGTCTCTGGGTTTTGCAGAACTTACTTCAAAGTATAATGAGAACACCCCAATTCACAGTGGGAAGAAGAGAGCTGTGTAGGTCCCCTGCTTCTTTTCCAAGGGATCCTGGGACCCAATTTATAACTTGCGGGGGGGTGGAGGGGGGACACGGAGCCAGGAGCCCAGAAAGGGTCTTATTTTTATGGTCCTTTGTTATGCCAGGACCTACCCCGGGGTCATCTGGATGAAGTCTGCATCCTCAGAGCCTCTTCCTATTCTGCACTGTCTCCTGGTCAGGTTTCCCTGTGGTGGAATCATGGCTTCTTGGGGGGTTGGGGCCACAACATGCCTGTCCGACTCAGAGCCTTGTGCCTTAGCAAAGATAGGGTTGGCTGGCTCGGTGCAGGTTGGGCATTTTTTTACCTTCTGCCATGCCTGGGAATGCTGCCTCATATACAGAGCACCTTTTGGATTCAGCCCACTGCTCTGGAAAGGGGAGCTCAGCAGGGAGGCGCTGTAGCAGAGGCTCCAGGTGGCTGTGACCACCACACTGCTCAGATCTCGGACTAAGAGAAGGCTTGAAAACAAACAAACAAACAAACAAACCTTTAACTGCCCAGAAAACACCTAAAAACAACAAATCTAAAAGAAAAGGACAGGAGTGAAGCAAACCGCCATTTTGCTGCTGCGGAGGCAGAAGATCTGTCAACAAGCAGGAGACAGGCTACGCTGCAGCTTTGAACCTCCTCTGGAAACTGCAGACAGGAAGGGAATAGCCCATACATATCAAAATTGTGGGAGCCTCTGGGCTGCAGCAAACAAGATTTTATCTACCTTGAAAATGATCTCTCCAGCAGCTTAGGCAGCCTTATGAGTCCTTGCCACGTTCCTAGTATGAGAAACTTGCTTCTTTTGCTACCCTTCTTATCTGCCCCTTTTGCATTTTCTGAATAGAAGTTCTATACCTCCTTTCCACTACAGAATGGTTTCTTTTTAATATTCAATTCCAGGAGCGTGGGAATTTATTCATACATAAACCCAGGCAAGTCCTCAAGCTCTCTCATTAGCAATTCCTTACGCTCAACATTTTTAACTCTCAACTGATTCTAGATCTTCTGTCTGCAGGGATGTTGATCGTCATCAGCTTTGGGGTGAATTTTGTTAACTCACCAGATTACTTTTTATTGGGATTTTTCAGAGTCGCTCTGATCTGGACGGAGCTCTGTTTTACAATGATGTCCAACACTCATAGCTGTCCATGTGCACTACAGTCTCTTCAAGTGAAATTAGATTTTGCATTTAGTTCATCTTGCCATGCAAAACAGCAGTCATTTCTCTCAGGCATCCTTGTGGGTTCTCTCTTTCCTCTTCCATGGCCCTCTGTACAAAGCTGCACTGGAGCACTCGATGGAGACCAGTAGTGTAAAGACAGGTTTCAGAGTAGCAGCCGTGTTAGTCTGTATCCGCAAAAAGAACAGGAGTACTTGTGGCACCTTAGAGACTAACAAATTTATTAGAGCATAAGCTTTCGTGGGCTACAACCCACTTCTTCGGATGCATATAGAGTGAAACATATATTGAGGAGATATATATACACACACACATACAGAGAGCATGA